CAAATAAATAAAATCTTTAATAAAAAAAAGCAAACCATTTTATAATGATAAAAGGGTCAATTCAGCAGCAAGATAAAAGAATTATAAATATATGTACACTTAAACTATTTTGAAATACACGAAACTACAATTTATGGAATTGAAGGGAGAAAGAGACAATTCAAAAGTAGTTGGAGACTTAAGTATTCTAATGTCAACAACTGATGGAACAACTGGACAAAAAATCAGCAAGTGTGTAGAAGACTTGAATAACAGTATCAGCCTGACCTAATGGACACACACCTCACTCCACTCAAGAACAGAATATACATTCTTTTCAAGCAAACATGGAACATTCTCCAGGATAGACCATATATTAGGTCATATAATAAGTGTTAATAAATTTTAAAGGATTAAAATAATAAAAATCATGTTTTCTGACTAAATGGAATTAGAAATCCACAACAATAGTTAATTTGGGAAATCCACAGATATTTGGAAATTTCTCAATAACCCTTTGGTCAAAGAAGAAATTATGAGGGAAATTAGAAAATATTTTGGGGCACCAAAATGGTTGTGTCTGCCTTTGGCTCGGGTCATGATCCCAGGGTTCTGGGATCGAGCCCCACATCAGGCTCCTGGCTCAGCGGGGAGCCTGCTTCTCCCTCTCCCTCTGCCTCTCCCCCTGCTCATGGTCTCTCTCTCGCTGTCTCTCTATCTCTGTGTTTCAAATGAATAAATAAAATCTTAAAAAAAAAGTTGAAATTGCTTTAAAAAAAAATTTTAATATGTTTTTATTTATATTCACTTCAAAATATTAAAATCTGTGCTAGCAGGGCCTCCTGGGTGGTTCAGTCAGTTAAACGTCTACCTTTGGCTCAGGTCATGATCTCAGGGTCCTGGGATCAAGCCCCATGTTGGGCTCTCTGCTTGTTGGGTAGCCTGCTTCTCTCTCTACCTCTCTGCTGCTCCGCCTGCTTGTGCGCGCCTGCTCTGTCACATAAATAAAATCTTTAAAAAAATTTAAAAAAATCTGTGCTAGCAGCTGTCTATTTTCGGGTGCCTGGCTGGGTCAGTCAGTGGAGTGTGTGACTCTTGATCTTGGGGTTGTAAGTTTGAGTCCCATGTTAGGTTTAGAGATCACTTAAAATATTAAAAAAAACAAAAGAAGTGTCTGTCTTCAAGTGTTTATATTAAAAAAGAGAAAGGTCTCAGTAATCTAAGCTCTCACCATAAAAATCTAGAAAAAAATAAATGAAGCCAAAGATAAGCAGTAGAAGGAAATAATAGGGTGGAAATTAATGAAATAGTGAACAAAAAATGATAGAGAAAAACAGTAAAACTAAAGTTGGTTCTTTGAGCAGCGCCTTGGTGGCTCAGTCGGTTAAGCATCCAACTCTTGATTTTGGCTCAGGTCATGATCTCAAGGTCGTAAGATCAAGTCCCATGTGGGCTCCATGCTGAATGTCGAGCCTGCTTAGGATTCTCTCCCTCTGCCCCTCCTCCCTGCTCGCATTGTCTCTCTTAAGAAAAAAAAAGAAAAGAAAAAAGTTGGTTCTTTGAAAAGAGCAACACAATTGGCACACCTATAGGTAGAGTAAGAAAAAAAGAAGACACAGATCACTAAAATTGAGGGAGGGGCACCAGAGCCGTTTAATTGGTTAAGCGTCCATCTCTTGATTTCTGCTTAGGTCATGATCTCAAGGTCTTGGGGTCCAACCCTGCACTGGGCTCTGTTCAGCATGGAGTCTGCTTGAGATTTTCTCTCTCCCTCTGCGCCCCTCCTCCTCCCGCTCATGTGCTTCCCCTCTCTCTAAATAAATAAATAAAATCTTAAAAAAAAAAAGAATGAAAGAAGGGAGGTTACTGCTGACCTTCAGATAGTAAATGATTACAGTAGAATACTCTGAACAACTGTATGCCAACTTAATGTAGATGAAGTGAACAAATTTTAGAACATCACATATTACCAGAATTGACTCAGAGGAAGTATAAAACTTGAATAGACCTATGAAAGGGAAAGAAATTGAGTAAGTAGTAATATTCCTACAAAGAAAGGCAGAGACCCAGATGGCTTAACGTAAATTTTATTAAATGATAAGAAATAATACTAATATTCACAAATTCTTCCCTGAAGAATTTTCAAAACCAGAAGTCCAAGATATCCCATGAATAGAAAAACAGACCAGTATTCTTCAAGAATATAGTTGCAAATTCCCTGTACAGAATATTAGCAAAGCAAATTCAATGGTATATTTAAAAGGTTATCACTATGATAGTATGAGATTATCCCGATAGTAACCAGATTTGTTTAACATTCAAAAATCAATTAATGTAATATACCATATTAATAGAATAAAAAGCTGAAACCACACAATCATGCCAATAAACATAGAAAAGGCATTTGACAAAATTCCATACCCATTGATGATTAAAACTCTTAACAAACAAATAGCAGTAAACTTCAACTTGACAGAAGATTTCTATGAAAAACTACAAAGGAATATCATAGTTACTGGTGATAGACTGAATGCTTTTCCCCTACAAGTAGGAAAAAGACAAGGATGTTCACCTTTCCCTCTTCAGTTCAACACAGTACTGCAGATTCTAGCTAATACTGCCAGGGAAGAAAAGGAAACATAAGATACCCTGATTTGAAAGAAAACATTAAACTGTATTTGCAGATGACGTCATCCCATATGTAGAAAATTTTAAGGAATCCTAAAAAATTAGAACTAATAATTGTTCAGCTGGACAATAGAATAAAATATCAGTATAAAAAGGTAGTCTTTCTAAACATGAACAATACACAGTCTAAAAATAATTCTGTTCAGAATAACATCAAAAAGAATAAAATATTTAAGGAATAAATTTAATAAAGTGCCACACTTGTACACTGAACATTACAAAAATTTGCTGAGGGAAATAAGATATAAATAAATTCAGAGACACTTTGTTCATAGATTGGATGACTTAATATTTTAAGATGATAATTCTCCTGAAATTGATTTATAGATTCAACTCAATCTGTAAAAATTCCAGCAGACTTTTTTCCAGGAAATGATAAGCTGATCCGAAAATTTATGTGGAAATGCTAAAGGATAGGAATTGCCAAAACAGTTTTATAGAAGAACAAAGTTGGAGGGTTTTTTCTACTGAATTTCAAAATTTCAAAGCTACAGTTAGTTATGGGCGCCTGGCTGGCTCAGTCAGTAAAGCATGCGAGTCTTGATCTTGGGGTTCAAGTCCCACGTTGGGTGTAGAAATTAAAACAAAATCTTAGGGGCATCTGGGTGGCTCACTTGGTTAAGCATCTGACTCTTGATTTCGGCTCAGGTCATGATCTCGGGGTCACAAGCCCTGTGTCAGGCTCCTTGTTCGGCAGGGAATCTGCTTGAGATTCTCTCTCCCTCTCCCTCTGTCTGCTACCCCCCCATAAATAAATAAATAAATATTTTAAAAATAAATAAATGAAATCTTTTTTTGAAAAAAGCTACAGTTATACAAGACATTATTGTGCTGGCAGGAGGTAGACATATATAGATCACTTGATTAGAATTATGAATCCAGTTTTCAACAAGGATGCTAAAGCAGTTCATTAGAGAAAAAAGTTTGTTTTCATTTCATGCTGGGACAACTGGATGCATCTCCATCCACATGCCAAAAGATGAACTTTGACCTCTTCACCCTATACAGAAAAAATAACTTAAAATTGATCATAGACATAAATATAAGACTGAAACAAAGCTACAAAAAAAAAAAGGAAAAATCTTTAAGACCTTGGATTAGTCAAACTTTTTTATGAGGTTATAAGAGAAAAAAAAATAAATTGGACCTGATCAAAATCCAAAGCTTCTGTGCTTCAAAATATACTGTTAAGAAAATAATAAAGACAAGCAACAGAATGGTTAAAAATATTTGTAAAACTTTTTTTTTTTAATTGTATCCAAAATTTTCGAAGAACTCATGTAAAGGAACTGGAACCATCATGTATTGCTGGTGGGAATGTAAAATGGTACAGTCAGCAGTTTGTCAATTTCTTAAAAACACAAAGTTACCACATGATGCAGTAATTAACACTTCTTAGATATCTACCTGAGCCCAAATACATGTCCTCACAAAGACTTGAATGTGATTGTTCATAGCAGCATTAATTTTCATAATCAGAAAGTGGAAACATATCCTTCACCTGGTGAGTGGGTTGACAGATGTGGTGTATCCATACAATAGGTACTATTCAGCAATAGAAAGGAATGAATTATTAACATGTGTTAAAACATGGATGAACTTCAAAAACTATGTGAGGTGCAAGAAGCTATACATAGAAGCCATGTATTGTGTGACTGACTGCATTTATATCGGATGTCCGGAAAGGGTAAATTTATAAAGAAAGTTAGATGTAGTGATTGCCTAGGGCAGTGAGTGGTGAATGGCATGAGGGATCTTACTGGGATGAGGAACCTGTTCTAAAACTGATTTATGGAGATGGTTGCACCACTGGGTAAAGTTACTAAAAATCATTGAATTGTATACTTAACAGTGAGTTGGTTTTATTATATGTTAAATGTGTCTCAAGAAAGTATTTTTCAAAATCAAATGCAGGAAATTATATAGCATTATCTTTAACCAGAAGCCTAAAATGTTTATATTACCTTTTTTTTTTGTATATAAGGTCATCTAAAATGTAAGGATACATTTTAAAATTTGCAGTTACTTTGAATGTTTAATACTCTGGTTTTAATGCCATGATCACTGGAAATATCAGCAGAACACCTTTTCAGACTGACCTTGCCATATGTGTATAAACTTTTTATGCAACCGTATTTCCTAGATTCAAAACAGAAGACCCACTATATCTTTGTTTTTGAAAATCATAGCACTTCGTTTTCTGCTGTTACAGGTTTGATATTGTCCCTGAAACCTTTGATGAAGACACTAAAACCATTTAAAATGAGCTTTGCTTTCTGTTTCTTCATTTACTACATTTTTCTTTTTGTTTTGTTTCACTTTATTCATTTTAGATCACTGTGTCCACTACTATGATCTTCGTAACACTAAACAGCCAATCATGGTATTCAAAGGACACCGAAAAGCAGTCTCTTATGCAAAGTTTGTGAGTGGTGAGGAAATTGTCTCTGCGTGAGTATTACTCTCCTGAGGTTAAGCTTCATACAGAGCTCTGTCATCATTTACCAGTTTTATAATGTCACTGTGGGTTGATACACTGTAGTATATGTACTTTTTCATAAATAGTAGATTTTTAAAATAATAGCCTAATTAAAATAAATGTATATTTTGGTTTGTATTGCTCACTTTTATATGCTCTTTGTGAATAAAATCCTGATGATGTTAGTTTTTAATGCACCCCCCCTTCAACATTTGAACTTCAGTTTGGATTTCAGCCACTGCTTCTCCTTAAGAAAAAAACAACATAGTTGATGGAATAGAATGAGAAGTATTTTATCTATTAAAATCAATATGTTATTGTATATTTATCTACACTGCAGTAGATAAACCAAAAATAATTGGTTTTAGGTAGTATTTTGTTGATTCTAAGTTATTTGATTTCCCTATGGTTTCATGGTAAGTTTTCAGTATGTTTTGAAAAGAAGTAAATATGGCTGCTTATACTTGACAGATATTCTTTGAGAAGCCTCCTGCACTAGAGAATTATAATGAAAGCTTTTAGTTGTCTTTTATTTTGTTTGAGGGTTAACAAGATGTCAACCAGATCGATAAACCTCAGTTGCCAAAATATCGTTGACAAAGTGCTTCTAACAACCAGTCCCTTCTTTCTGTTAACCCATTTCATGATTCTCTTTATTTTATTTTATTTATTTTTAAAAGACTTTATTTATTTATTTGAAAGAGAGAGCACAAGCAGAGGGAGAGAGAGAAGCAGGGCCCGACACAGGGCTCCATCCCAGGACCCTGAGATCATAACCTGAGCTGAAGGCAGACATTTAACTGACTGAGCCACCTAGATGCCCCCTCTTTATTTTATATTACCCTAACAAATACTCATTCTGTAATCTTAGGAGATTACTAATGCCAGTGCCTTGGCATTAATACTTGCTATCTCCCACCACATCTATCTCTATTCTGGTTGCTCTAGATAATAAGTTGGTAATTTGAATTGATTTAGCAAGGTAATTTGAGTTACAAACAAGGAAAAAAAGGTGAGAACTGAGTTTTCCAAGGAAGATAATATAGGTAATTAGTTCACACTTAACACTTAAATTAGTGTTAACCAGTCAAAATGTATCCCATCTTTAGGAATAATAATGGCAGTATATAACTAAACTTTTATTCAGATTCAAATGTGCATGGTAGATTATATGGCAGAAATATTTTTCTTTAACTTTAGATTTATAAATGTTAAATCAGTCTGATTTCCAGTATTTGAAATATATGGATACTTAATATTATAAATTGGGAAACTTTAGTTGACCTTATTAATGTGGATATGTTGTTTATATTTTCACCAGTCTCTTGTCCTTCTTAAGTTTTATAAATCATGATTTTTTTTCTTGAATATGTTTGAGGTTTAGAAGTTTTTAGAATAAATTTATCCACAAGTATATTTGGAAGTGTTCAAAAGTAATATTAAAATATACATACTTTGCCACAACCTCTGAATTCGTGACCAATAAAAATATATACACACCTAGGGCACCTGGGTGGCTCAGATGGTTAAGCGTCTGCCTTTAGCTCGGGTCATGATCCCAGGGTCCTGGGATCGAGTCCCGCGTCGGGCTCCCTGCTCCTTGGGAGCCTGCTTCTCCCTCTGCCTCTCTCTCTCTCTGCCTTTCATGAATAAATAAATAAAATCTTTAAAAATATATATATATACACACCTAAAGAAATACTCAACGCAACATTGTTGAGAAAGATTTTATTTATTTGACAGAGAGAGACACAGCGAGAGAGGGAACACAAGCAGGGGGAGTGGGAGAGGGAGAAGCGGGCTTCCTGCTGAGCAGGGAGCCCGATGTGGGGCTCGATCCCAGGACCCTGGGATCATGACCTGAGCCGAAGGCAGACACTTAACAACTGAGCCACCCAGGGCCCCGAGAAAAAAATTTTTAAATGACATAAATGTCTATTGAAAAAAATGAGAAGAATAGAGAAGTATTTTAAAGAGCTTGGAGTTTGGTCTCTGAAATAAGACAGTTTCAGCTTGGATCTGCTGTTGACTAGCTGTGGTACCTTGAAAATGCCCTTAACCTTCTCATTTTCAGTTGCCTCATCTCTAAAGTGGAGCTAATAGTTATTATGAAAAAAAAATTGTTATTATGTTGTGACTCTTTAAAGGAAGTAATGATGTAAAGCATTCAGCATGGTGCCATATTCTGTGAATGCTACAGTAAGAGAAAAGATGATTTATTGTGTAGTCATTAACAAAAATATCAAAATGTGTTTATTTAACAGAAAAATTATAAACCAAATTATCGAATAAAGGATAAGCAATTTACAACCTAATGTATATGATATGATCGGATTTTTGTAACACAAAGGAAAACAAAAACATGGTGTCTTTTATTCAAGTTCTTTGTCTCTGTATGATAGGATTACCAACAATTTTTATATTCAATTAATTTTTGGTAAATAATTGCATTTGCATATTATTTCAGTAAATAAATTACATAGACTATTCCAGTCATTTATTATATTCCACCCTTCTAGATTCAACTAAGCTGTCAAAATAGGTTAAATTTAGTATACCAATACAATTCAATATTTGAAAAGTAAATCAAATCAAGTGGCATAGAGTGTATCCCTGAAATTAAACACAGCTCCCAGTGGAATTCGTGTTATTTGATGATGGTGGTGTGATAGTATTGACGAGTAACGTTTATCAGTAAGTACTTCCTAGATGCCCAGGGACTATTGAAAGCATTTTAAATGAATTAATTTAGTTTTCACACCTTACAGAATTTACCTAATTCAATAATGTAGGAATCACTGTATTTCACGTAACTAATGAACAAAATTGAGGTCGATGAGGTTATATAATTTTCCCAAAGTCAAAAGCAAATTAATGGTATATTGAGCATTGTTAACTCAGAAAATCTGGCTCCATAGTCTGCATACTCAACCACCAAACTGGATTGCCTCTAAATAGTAGGGATGAGTTTCATACCATGAAATCTTAATTGCATTCTCATTTTTTGTGTTTACCTCAGCTCAACAGACAGCCAGCTAAAGCTGTGGAATGTAGGGAAACCATACTGTCTCCGTTCCTTCAAGGGTCACATCAATGAAAAAAACTTTGTAGGCCTTGCTTCCAATGGTGATTATATAGCTTGTGGTAAGTAAAACCATCTTTTCCTGGAACTTTTTAACAGGAATTTGTCCCTGAAATTGCATTCAACAGACATGGACTATATACTAAGTCAGGAAATGATCTGTACGTCCAGAAAGTAGCATATTGAAGTCTTCTGGGATTGTACTGGAGTGAGCATTAGTCCTCTCCTTTGCTGAGCACAAATCCTGACTGCATGAAATAGCATAAGATTGTTAAATATGTTTTGTAATTGTTCTCCATCGTACCATGATTTCTGTAGATATTATGTAAAAGAAAAGATTAATTTCTGCTAATATACTAATTTCAGAGACATTATTTGTCTTCTTAAGCTTGATATTCATTTTGCCCTACAGAATGTTCTCTTCATTAAGCAGTTTGTTTAGATGATCTGTTATTCTAGGGCTTTTGTTGTTGGTAATTTATACAAATTTAAATCAGAAGTAGAAAAATCAAATTAGGTAATGTTCAAATGCTTAATACACCTAATGCCTGAATATATGAACTTTCAATAGTTCTTTCAATGAGACCTTTATTTAGTAAAGTTGTATATAATGTAAACTCTGCCAAAGCAAATGTCTTGCAATTATTCTACTTTGATAGACTACTCAAAAATACAGGTTTCCTTATAGGCCACTTATCTAATAGAGGAATGTCTTTACTGGGGAATGGGACATAAATTTTGTAGGTTATTAAAACCAGCCTTTGTAAGTGCTGTAACCTTTTTTTTTTTCCCCTCTTAGAAAATCTTTCTAAGTGTCATGTAAGATTCATGCTTTAATAACAAATTTCTGGTCTTCTTTAAACCTTTGCTATAAATGAGGTTTTTGCAGTAATTTTAACCTTACAGTTATCAGTGTTGTTATATCATTTACCAGTTATTATTTCTTTAGATTAGTAAAGTGTAGCTTTTTTTCTATGAATCATTTTTTCACATGATTCCCAAGAAATCCTGTGCTTCGGTCTTTCAGATTCAACCATAAAAGATTTGTCTTTGTGCTTAAACATTGAGTAATAATTACCTTATGAATGTAATGTCCTAATTCTGAATTCTCCCATTCTAAAAAATTATTAAATCTTTTTTTTTCAGGAAGCGAGAACAACTCTCTTTACTTGTACTATAAAGGACTTTCTAAGACTTTACTAACTTTTAAGTTTGATACAGTCAAAAGTGTTCTGGATAAAGACCGAAAAGAAGATGATACAAATGAATTTGTTAGTGCTGTGTGCTGGAGGGCATTGCCAGATGGGGTAAGTTTTCATGTCAGTTTTTTCACCTTGATGTCTCATATAACACTTTATGTTTATTCACATGTGAATTTTTTTAAGTTTAAAACATAAATTGATATGTGATACAAATTTTTTCTTCTGCTTAGTGTTGCATCACCAAAGGAAACAGGCATTTTAGTTAGTAATTGAAATGTCACCAGTGGAACAGTGTCACACTGATATAATGTCTCTCCTGTGTACCCATAGCATCTTGTACATACCTCTGTTTTAGCATTATCACATTGTCTATTTATATCTCTTCTATAGGACTGGAAATTTCTAGAGTACACACTGTGTCTCATTTTCCTTAATGATCATTTGCAGTATATACTCAATAAACATTTAACTGAACCTGATATCATCTTAGCAAGAAAAAAATTTGATGTAGGTAAAAGAGAGGCCCTATATGTATACCTAATTAAATACTATTTCAGGGAAGAATTGCTCTCTACAAAATGCACTTATACAAGAATATTTAAAACATTTAATTTCTTAATGAAAAAGTTGTACTTCTAGATTGCAAAAAAAAAAGTTTTCTTAAGCTTGTCACTTACTCCTACGTTTAAAGTATAAGCTTTCTCATAAGTTATATGAAGAAATAGTTCTTTTTATTATCTTGATTTTTATAAACAGCAGTCACTAATGTTATCTTTTTGAAAAATAGCTCTTTAGGTGCTTACTTGGTTGGTTTTATTTTTGAGCCAAAAAATTCTTCCTTGATGGTTACTTTCAGAATTCTGAGTTTCTGATACTATTTAACTTTAATTAGATATATCCCATTCCTATCTTATTTAAAGTTCTGTTAATCAACTTCCAGTTTTGGCAATGGTACACTAGGTGATATGTACTAACCTGTAAGTAGAACTAGAAAAGTTGGACCAAGTATATTTATTTCAAAAACAACAACAGAAACCTGTTTGAAAACATTGGAATGTACACAAGATAGAAAAGAATTACCAGCATAGGAATGTAAACCTGGCTTTGGAGTATGCTTTTCCTCTGGGAGCCTTTGCCACTCTTGGTAGAATGGCTGAGAGCACTTAGGACAGCTTCACAGGGGCACAGGGATCAGAATCTAGTGCTTACCACTATGTGGGTGAACTTATTTTGGTTTAGGACCCCAAAAGGGCTGTAGTCTAGGGTAAACCAGTAGAAGGTAAACTCTCACAATGATTGCAATGCCAGATCATATCAGTCCTGAAATTAAAATTAAATGATCCTCTATTGCTAGTTAAAATTAAATCCTCTTTGAAAGAAGGTCTAAAAAAGATCATCTGGGAATTTATTTTTTTTTTAATTGCAAATACAGTAACTCTTAAGACACAATAAAATCACAGACATGGGAAAAGGCAAGATGTTATAAATAAATTTAGCGTAAGCAGTGGACAACAGAAACAAAATCACAGCAACTCTGGATATTGGAATTATCAGACATAGCTTAAAAATAACCATGCTGACAATTGATAAAAGACAAGATTGAAAATTTCAACTTGGAACTAAAGAACTATTTTAAAAATGAAAATCCTAGAAGTAAAAAATTATAATTACTGAAATTAAGATCTCATTGGATGGATTGTATGGAAGAAAAGACAGTTGAAAAGAATCAATGAACTTGTAGTAAGTTAGAAGAAAATATACAGAAGAAAGCATGGAGAGACAAATAGGATGAAAAAAATGCAGAAAAGAAATAAAGGATGAAGTAAGAAAGTTTAATATATTCAATAGAAGACCTAAAAGAGAAAAGAAATAATACAACTGAAGCAAATATTAGAAGGAATTATGTTGAGAACTTTACAAAATTGATGAAAGACATCATGGGAGAGATTCAATAAGCCCTTGTATCCCAAAGAATAAATCTACGATGTGAGTAGATTTAATATTATACTTGGACCATGAAGAAACTTAAGCTTGCCTGAAAATCTGATCTTGGGTCTGCCTTCTCATAGTACCACTTTGTAGAAATGTGCTGAATTAGGACAAACATGGAATGTTATTGTTAGCAGGCTAGTTCTCTCTTAAATTAACTATGAAACTCCATCTGTACTATTGCATCTGGACTTAGAGAACTGTGAGTTGGCATATTGACCTTATGTCTACCCAAAGTAAACAATATAAGACTGACAGGAAACCAAAGCACATCTCTGTATCTAGAACCTCATGCACCCTAACTGTCCTTGGCAACTGTGCGTACTCTTTGTGTGGGTTCAGGAGGGATGCAAGAAGCTATGCATGTATATAGTTGCTTGCCCTCCTGAGGAGTATGAAGATGTTGTGCATGACGAATTTCCTATCCTGTATACCTCTATAAAGCTAACTAACCTAGTGCAAGACTAAAGCTAACTGTGTCTGGTCCTGTGACCCGTACTGGTGGTAGGACGGTCACACCTTGACATATCATAATAAAACTATTGAAAATCAAATGCAAAGGGAGATTATTAAAGTAAGGCAAAGAAAAGTCACTGTCTTCAGAACATCAGCAGTTAGACTGACAGTCAACTTCTCATGAAGCAATAGAAACCAGAGTTTGTGGAACCAGATCTTCACTGTGTAAAGGGAAATACCTCCCAATATAAATTTCTATATCCAGTGAAAATCTCTCAAAACAAAAGTAAAATGAAGATACTTTTAGATAAAAAAATATGAGGAATCTGTCACCAGTAGACGTACACTAAAGAAAACCTGAAAGGATATTTTTAAGGCAGAAGGAAAAGATGCAGAACCTAAAGATGAAGGTCACTGATGTAGAGAGGAATGGGAAAAGATGAAGGAATAGAAATGGTGAAAAGGAGTAGAAGTGGTAATATGTAGTAAATCTAAATGCATATTGACTGTATAAAGTAGTGATACCTTGTTGGATTTAATAAACATAAAATTAAGTATTTGACTGTAATAACATAAGCCAGAAGGGTAAGTGTGATTAAAATGTTCTCAAGAATTTTCCTTGTCAGGGAAGGAGGTAAAAAAACTAATTAACATTGGACTGAAAGGGATGCATATTATAGTTTATAGGATAACCTTTCTAAAGTAGATTATCTTAAAGTGTGCTACCTAGATCAACACATCAGTGTCACCTGGGAACTTGCTTTATTTCCCAATAAAAAGATTAAAAGAAAAGTTGTGTAACTCACTTCATTATCAGTCCAGATTTATTTTAAATTTGATTTTTATATAACAGTCCCTTTGATTAGGCATGGAAATATAACTTCATTTCCTTATTTTAGATGAGGCAGAAAGTGTGAGAGACTGTTGTTTATTTAGTCAACAAATATTTATTATGTGCAGTCACAGTTCTAGATATGGAAGATAAACTTGAACAAAACTGTGAGAAAAATTCTGGCCCTCTTAGGAGACTTAAAATTTTATGTGCCGGAGGAGAAGGAAGAACAGAATGAGTAAGTTGTTGTATCAGAAGGTGACGGGTGACTTGGAGAAAAACAAAGCAGGAGCGTGGGACAAGGAGTTCAGGAATAGGGAGTTCTAGTTTTCAGTGGTGGTAACAGTCACCTGCCTGGATAGCTGAATTAGAGCAAAGACAAGGACATAAGGTGTAATCCACATTTAAAGGTGTGAGGGTGTTCAGGTGGAGCAAACAGTTCAGAGGCCGTGAAGTGAGGAAGTGATTAGTGTTCAGGGAACAGAAAACAGGCCAGTGTGGCTACACTACAGTGAACTAGGTGGAGAGTAGTCGATTTCAGAGTGGTGAAGAAGAACCATTTCAACAGAGCATCGTTTACCAAAGTCCGGACTTTGGCTTTTACCGGGCGTGAGTTGGAGCCATTTTAAGATTTTGAACAAAGGAGTGATACAGTGTGACTTCAATTTTTTAAAAATCAGTTTGGCTGTTTGAGAATAGATTATAAAGTGTCAAGAGTGGAAGCAGGAAGGCTGTTGCAGTAATCCAGGTAAGATAACATAGTGGTATACCAGTGAGAAGTAGTCAGATCCCATTCATATTTTGAACATGGAACCAGTAAATTGCATGTGGAGAGTGAAAGAGAAAAGTCTAGGATAACACTGAGGTTTTCCCCCCCATAACTTTAGGAGTGGAGTTGCTGGTAATTGAGAAGACTATCAGAGGAAGTGTCTTAGAGGAGATAGGAGGGGACGTTTGGACTGGTTAAGTTTGAGTTGTACTTGCCTTCTAAGCGGATGTACCAAGTTTGGAGTTCACAGCAGATTGTGGCGCCAGAGATAGGCATTGGTAGCTGTGAGCATGTGATGTTTAAGCCAAGAAATTGGATGGTATCTCTGCAAGGGAATATAATTAGATATTAGAAGTAGTGTGAATACCATACTTTGGAGGGTACCTTAGTGTTCAGTGATTGAAGTGAGGAGGAGGAATCAGCAAAGGCTGAAAAAGAGTCATTCTCTGTATGTTAGAAAACTGGTGCCTGGGAAGCCGAGTGAAAAAGTTTTTCAGCGTTGATTGGCTTTGTCAAATGCTACTAATACAAGTAAGATGGGTAAAAAGAAAATGAAAGGAGTGGTATGAGAAAAGCTTGATTGGAGTGGTTTTAAGAAAGAAAGGGAAGGGAGAAGTTGGAGATAGTGAAATACAGAAGAGTTTAATCTGTATTTAAGAGTTTAACCATGTTTAATCTCACCTAGATTACTTTGTTAAAATATGAAATCAGTAGCTGTCTCTAAAAAGGCCAAACATTTCATCGTCTTTCTGTCCTTTTTTCTGTTCTACCTAATTTTGATCACAAGAAAGAGATCAATTTATTTATTTATTCTTGAAAAATTTTATTTTATTTTTAAAAGATTTATTTATTTGAGAGAAAGAGGGAGAATGGGGGGAAGAGCAGAGGCAGAGAATCTCAAGCAGACTCCGTGCTGAGCGCAAGCCCTACTTAAGGCTCAGTCTCAGCATCCTGAGATCATGAGCTGAGTGGAAACCAAGAATTGGATGCTTAACCAACCGAGCCACCAAAGTGCCCCATAAATTTAGAAAAATTTTAAATGTAATCAGCCAAAGAGAG